CTTCCTTAGCCTGACGAAGGGTTTTTGAACCCGAAAGCTTGCTTAATAACTATTCTCCAACCATTTGGGTTGGTCTAATAAAAGATATCAAATTCACGCAAGGAACCTTGTCTGCCTATGTCCTTAGACCAACACGGCTACAACCCAAACCCCTGCATAAAAGGCAGCATTGTTAGAAAACCGGGCAGTTCAGCCTTGGTGTCAGTTGAGTGACGGCGTACCTCAACACACACGCAGTGTCACCCGCCCATGTCATGAGTTTTGCCTGTCAGCAGCTAGGGGTGCAGAGCCGCAGGAACCCCCTGCACCGATCTCCTCCACAGCTGGCAGGCTTTGTGGCCGCAGCAGGGGCTAGCAGGCCTGCAGCTGTCACCCTGCTGTGCCTTAACACACACACTGTCACCCATGTCACGAGTTTTGCTTGTCAGCAGTTTGAGGTGCAGTTTCCCCCAAGCCCCTGCACCTATCTCCTTGAAACCTGGCAGGCTTCGTTACCTCAGCAGGGGCTAGCACGCCGGCAGTTTTGACCCTGCTGTGGCTTAACACATACACGTGACATGAGTTTTTTTGCTTTCAAGAGTTCGAGGTGCAGTTTTCCTGAAACCCCTGCACCTATCTCCTTGAATCTTGGCAGGCTTCATGCCCTCAGAAGGGGCCACCATTCCTGCGAGATTCATCCAAAGCAGGCCAGAAATGACAACGTTATAGGCTGGTTCAACCTTCCCCATTATAGCCTGTGGGCGATACGTCAATACAGCATCAAAACAGCTAAACTGTTTTGACAAAACGGAACGGAACAGCAGTTTCAAATTGAAATGAAATTTGAAATAAAATGCTGTTCCGTTGAAATGCAAGTCAAAATGGATCGGTGCCATTTTGCACAGCCCTAGTGGCCAATGTGACCTCAGAGTCTCTCTTTGCCAACTGGCTTTTTATTGCCTCCTCATCAAGCAGGCTCCAAACGATTTTCAATTCTCAGCAGCATATGGGATTTGTAAAGCAGGTGTCAGTGTAATTCATGCCTCTGCTAAAACCCAGTTTCACAGCCAGACCTGGATGACAGGGCTTTAGTGCACGTAAGAGTCAGTCTCACAATCTGGGCAGGTCATCTGCAAGGTGCAAGGGCAGAGCCAAAAAAGAGGTGTGGACTGAACAGAGGATATGCCACCCATGGGAAGCCCATTGGATGGAAGGCAGCTCAGACAAGCTTGATGCAGGAGAGAGAGAGAGAGAAAAAGAGATTTATGTTCAGACAAAAGACTTAACATTCTCTATGTTCAGAAGTTTATTCAGGTTTCTACTAATGTACAGAGAAATGTTGCCCAGTGCTCTGCAGTGCAGTATACCTAGTATCCTCAAAGAAGCCCAAGTGACTCTCAGTGGAATCTGAGAGCTTTCCAGCACCTTAGAAATTGCTTGCCATGGGTTTCAATTGCACAACCTCCGAACAGCCCAGCAGCTGACCCAGCAGCAGTGCTTGCTAGAGCTTGGATCTTGCTAGAGCTGCAACCCAAACATCCTCGTACACACACAGGGCTCCTCTGGCCAAAGCGTGCCAAAAGGCACTTGGCAGGGAGCCACCCACTCCAGGGCTACTCTGGATTGAGACAGATGCTCAATCCACAGATGGAGGATTCTTGCAGCTGGCCCTGCTGGAGTCCCCATGGCTGTAGAGTGCAGAGGCACATTCGCCAGGTGACACCTGCTACAATGGGATTGGCTTGTCTACCTCTAAAATACCCTGCTCTCTCTGGTTCTGACAGCACAGAGACTCCCTAAGATATTGCACCTACTGGGAACTCCTGTTGGGGGGGGCCCCCACCCCCCCCCCCCCCCCGATCCCTTTAGGCTATGGGGAAGTGTCACAAAGCCAGGAGTCCAAGTGACTCTAGGAGGTAAATAAATAAACCCAGGCACAAGGGTAAGTGTGTGTGTGTGTGTGTGTGTGTGTGTGTGTGTGTGTATAGATATCTATATATAGATATAGATATATCACACCAGCAGTGTCCAGAGCTCCTCAAAGGCATTCAAAGTACCAGCAAATACTGCTCAAGGGAACTCCATTCAGTGGTCACAAAGCTACTCCCCTTCCCACCACCATCCAACTTTTTCCCACTGGGGTTGTAGGTGGCCAACTTGTGCAGGGCCGGGAATAGGTGAGCAAGTAGGGGGTCTCACACCTCCATGGGGCCATGCATGAGAAACAAGCAGGTGAGATACTGCTGAGAAAAGAGAACCCAGAGCCTAAGCAGGAGGCTCTGAAGGAACCGATATGGAGGCTGTAGTCAAGTATGGTCCAGGGAGATGGGCACTGGGGTCTCCCTCTCACCACAAGAGGGGCAGGTGTCATCAAAAACAGGGTCAGCAATATGCCCATGCCTATAAACCATGCAGGAGAAACCAGTTCATATCCCAGTAGGAGTGCCTTGCCCCATGGTTCATCGTTGGCCACCAGCAACAAGAAGTCCTGCAACCGGAGGCTTGGGCAGGAGATGGGGGAAGGACATAGGTGGTATGATACATGAAAGAGCACCAATGTCTTTGGCATGGAAGTGAAACATCGGGGGGACCTGGGGGTGGAGGGTTTTATCCAAAAACAAAGCATCAGAGACATTCAAGGTGAGGGAAGCTTGTGCTTTCATTTCCAGTAGGCTGTTCCCTCTCCCAACATCATAATGTCTTAGGAATTCAGGCTGAGTTGGGAAACAGCCCAGAACCAGGGATGGATTCCCTCCCCATTGAAAGAGGCCGGTGGGAAGATAAAGATTGGGTTTGCACTACCAGCATGATAAAATCTCACCCCACCTCTTTCATAGTCCAGAAAGACACTGATCTTCCTGGGGACTTGGCTGAGAGGCAGTAGGGTCACCTCAGGGAAGGTGAGAGCATGGAACTGATCCCAGTCACACTCCACAGCCCAGATTCCCCCTTCAGGATTAAGGGTAACCTGTCCTTTCCTCCTCACAGACTCTCTGGCCACTCCCACGGCCCAGTCTTTCCCCTCCCCAACGTCTACCTCCCAGTAATGTCTCCCTGAAGTAAATCGCTCAGAGCCCAGCACACAAGGCCTATTATCAAATCTCTTAGGATTGTCAGGGAGTCTCTGCACTGTGTTTTCCCACTTCACACTTTTCCGATCCAGAGACAAAACAAGGTTGGGATGAGCTGTGTCTTGATCCAAAGTTACAATTGCTGGAGAGATGAAGAGAGAATAAGATTGTTAGGGGAAGTTCTGGAGGAAACTGGAGCTATTCCCTACTCTTTTTGGACTCCAGGAAGCTGCCTCTCTCTACAACATCAGAGCCTGAGCAGAGGTGTCCTTGCATTTCTGCAGCCTATGCCAACTTTTTTGCAGCAGTAGGTTTCAATGACCTCACTTGGACCTGAGGCAGGGAAGTGCTAGGACCTAGTTGCTGCTCCCACTGTTGCCCAGCCACAGCAAAGGTGAAGCCCTCCGCCACCCAGCTGTGGCATGGACAAAGCCCCAGCCACCAGTGGGAAGCCCCCCACCATGCAACTGCAGCACAGTAGGGGCAAAACCCCCACTGCTGAGCACCACTGAGGCCCTTTAACTCTGTGAGCTGGATCCAGTCTCTCTGTGGGCCAGATACAGCCCACAGCCAAAGGTTGCCAACCCCTGGCTTATGGAACGGCAGCCAATTATATAGCTGCTTGTTGAGCTGTAAAAACTGTTGCTCTCTGTTCTCTTGCTAGGGCCATTCCATTCTTAGCTACATGAGCACCAAGAAAGACCCCAGAAGCTTTTAGTGGAAAGGGGAATGAAAGTACAACTACAAGCCTGTATTCCCAAAGGGAGCCATTCCCCAAATCCCTCCTGCTGTTGGCCAAAGAGAAGGACAAGGTGTTAAAGGAAGAATCACTTAATACCAGAGTGTAGGAGCTGCCTCTTCATCAGGCCATAAAAAAATGAGGTATCACCACTGGAAGGAGAGGAAACAGGAACAGCCCTAACAGGAGAACAAATCCCACCACAGCCCAAGGAGAAGGCACAAAGCTAGAGAAGGAAGGCCCCTCACCCAGGAGATAAGGCTCTAGTAGACCTGAGGGGAGAGAGTTCTTCAATCTTTCCTCCGAATGAAACAATAGGGAGGCATTTCAGTGTCTCTCTGAAGCTGGGGGTCAGAGCTGTGATAGGGAATGAGTCTGTTTATGTACATAATTGAATGTGTGAGTTAAATATGTCAGCACTGTTTGTATGACTTTACAAGCCATTACATTGGTTTTTGGGGGTTGTTTACTATTTAAATAATGGGAGGGGGTTACAATTTAAGTAGTGTACATAACAGTGCTGGTCTACAGCAGAGCAGTTAAGGTAATTCACTGCAGTTCTAAAGGTCTGCACATGAACTTGCCTTCAGACTAGTGCTGAGTGTCACGACCTGTTGATTCATATGCAAATAGCCACCTTATCACCTGGGCTGGGGGTCAGACGTAGATGGATGTGATGCAAAACTCATCACTTGTGTAATTTTGACTATAGAAGCTGGTGCACCTCAAGCATGCTTGCCCAATGAAGAGCTGGTTACACTGGTTTGGGTTGTAACTTTAACAATAGCTTAAAGCAAGAAAAGTACTTTCCACTTCCCAATTTATAATGTGTTTGTGAACACTCACCTTTTGTATACAGTGCCTGTGGTTTCCCCATTTCTCCCCTCAGTTCAGATGACATCGTGTCTAGAAGAAATTAAAAAGGGAAAAGAGAGGAACTTTCTTACTGTCACTTTTAAAATGATGTCCCGACCACTGACACTCGTATCACACTATGGGAATCATGATGAGGAAACAGAGCCAGAGAGACAACTGTATCTTTAATCAAACATGATCTGAAACCCACCATGGGCATGTCTACATGTCTGCTTTAATGCGCATTAGTCTATTTTAATGCACATTAAAGCATCACTTTAAAAATGTGTTCTTTAGTTAATGTGCATTAAGACAGGCTAATGCATATTTTCCTAGTACCTCACAAAAGAGGTATTAGATTTAATGTGCATTAAGTAAAGTGCATTAATACATGTGTAGACATGCCCAGTGAGTGTTAGAATTTCCCCTCCATGCCAGTCCACAGAGGGTAGGAATTTTTACAGCTCTTCACTAAAGAGCATGAGCTGTATGCCCCAAGATGTGTAATCCTCTATTTTTAGTGTTGGATGTTTCCTAGATTAGTTTCCCTTGGGTTGATCAACAGAGGGGTATCCTAATTGTGTTTTTATTGTATTTCATTTAGGCATCCCAAAGTCCTCTCAGTGCCTTATTGTTATGGAATGTATGTATTTAAGCAAAGTGTATAATGGTGAACTATAGCCAAAGCATGCTTTTTACTTATTTTCATTAGTCTTGACTTGTGACACAGTTTAGACAAGAGATTCCCAATCCAGAGGTTGTGACCCCAAGTGCGGCTGTGGCGCTTACAAATGCAGCCAAAAGTCCCATTCTAAATTCAACTGGAGAAATCCAGATTGCAGTAGAAGTGGGGCCACAACCCTGGAAATAGGATTCCAGGCCCAGAGGGTTTGGTAACTACAAATTTAAATGAAGAGATGGCTTCGCTGGTGTTCATATCAGCTTTGGAACATGGGAATAATTAGCTCTTGCCACATTTGGGATATTGTGTGTAAAACAAAGACTTTGGGTTAAAAAAAAATTAAACCAGTTTGGGAAAGCAACTGAGCCCTCAATCAATCTGATCGTTAAGATGGGACTGATCCTTTTGAGTATCTATTTTGAGTCAAGCTTTTGATGTGGTAACTGCTGTCACTCTGCTCTTCAAGTGTGGCTCACTTTTTTAAGTGCTGTCTTTGTTACTGTTAAATTAACAGATGGAACGTGGCTATCAAGAGCTCTGAGTAAGCTCCATATTGAACCTCCATGTATCCAATACATACAGTTCTGTAGGTGTGGTAGGTAAACTGAGCCCTGGCCACCCTCTCCCCACTTAGGCCATTTGGATTAATTACTTTCACAAGGTCACATAGTGAAACAAGGTGAGATACTCTAATGTCTGTGCCTCTGTTGCATCTTCTCAATGCATCTGATTTTTATTAAATAGACATGCAATCTAATTACAAACTAGCAAGCTTATCTCCTCCCCAGTCAGACACTCCTCCCCCTTTCTCCTCACAGATAGATTCCTTCTCAATACCTTTGAATTTCTTCAGAGTCCTCATTAGGAAAGCATTTTTCTTGGAGAAATTAGTGAGTCTCTTTTCTAGATTAGGATAAATCTCCACTGGAAGCTGGAACATCCCTTTCTTGTACCTGGAGACAAAACTTCAGGTTCTTACACTTCATTGAGTAACTCATTCCAGTTCCTTTCTAGTGACAACTGTTGGTCAGATGAGCCTGGATGTTGAAAACTTATACCAGCCCCAAATTAGGTTCAGAACAGGCAGTAACGGCACAGCCTTACCATAAGGTATCACATGGATAATTCTTCCACTTTGATATGGAGACACCAGCTCCAAGGATCAAAAAGGAGCTTAGTCTCCATGGCCAAGTCATTCCTTGGCTTCCATGCTCTTATGCTGGTATCCTTACATATTTCTGATGTTGTGGACCATGGCACTGACTTTTCTCAGGCTGCTCTGCATAGATCACCAAGCAGACCCCAAGTAAAAAAGACTCTTGAATCATTCTTGACTGTGACCAAGTAATCTGGGGGTAAAACACTCCAATTGTATCTCTGAAATTCTCAGCCCACCAGCCCACTGGGATGTGACTTTTCTAGACAATGCAATGTTCATGGTCTCTCTTCATAACTCTATGTAAAAGATGAGATACTCAAGATTAAATTTACCAGAGAGATTTTTATCCTGAATAAAACCTGTCCAATACATTTTTCCTTTTGATTCCAGGAACCCTATGGGTCTAACCTACCCTCCATGGCTGGACAGTATGAATGTGGATGAGATGGAGCAACATACCTGCTCAAGCTGCTCCTGATATCCTAGAGGGGAAAGAAAAATAACAGTCTCAGTTCCACATGCCATACCAAGGAGATCTCCAAGGGATGTCATATTTCAAATACAGAAACAGCAGGTTTTACCTCACCCTAGGCCCATGGAGTAGCTAAGGTAAGAGGATTAGTCCAGCTCTAACATCTATGAATCTAGCTCTTCAACAGTGAAGGATAATTCCCATGAGAGAGATGTATACTGTGGTCTCTGAGTGATGGACTCCACAGCCCAGGAGTCAGGAGCCCTCCCTTCCCTGTGCAAGGCTGTGAAGTCTCTCTCACAGTCTCACCTGCAGGAATTCATTTGCTGGCTGCTGGTACTTCCCCTCTAGTTCATGGATCAGCTCATCGATATGATTAATATCCTTGGATAGCTTGGTGACATTCTCTTTCTTTATCTTCTCCATCTCCTCCACCAACTTTCCTAGCCAGGTCAGTAGGAGTTGCTCTTGTACATTTAGGAACAGGTGCAATTGTTGAAATTCAGACACAATCTTCTCCTTCTCCACTTCAGTTTGTTTCTGTGGGAGTGGGAAAAAGCCAGGGAAAAAGTCAGAGCTGGAGATTGAGGGACATCTAAAATGTAGTAGTAAGAGTTAACTCCCTTCCTGAGGACTGACATGATGACATCTACAGGAAGTTGTCAGCCATCATTGTGCATGTGTTAGCAGTGGCAATAAAGCCCTTTTGAGAGAAGTCTCCCTGCCATTTCTTGAGCTATGTGATAGCACATAAATGCATTTCACCGGGCTCCAATACCTCTGAGAGGGATGGTGCCAGCCCTGCCATGGTGAGGATACCTTGTAATTAGCAACCTCTGGTAATTCACAGCCAAAGCAGGAAGAAGCACAGCTCAGCACCACGTGAAGAACGATCCAGGGGTGGAAAAGTAACCAAATGATCAAACAAGGCAGGACATGATGCAGAGCAAGACATCCCTACATGGGTTACATTCATTTCTCCTGGGGAGAATTTTTATCAGTGTCCCAATGGCTAGAATTTAAATCATTGATTCAAATGACATAGATTTGGCATGAGATGCAGTTTTGATGCTGCTCTTCTCTAAGGATAGGTGTGTATACATAGACTTCTCTCATCCCATAGAGTAATCTTTGATTACAGAGCAACAGTTGATAACCAACATTTGTCACAAGCACAGGAATCTACTAGCAAAGAGAAACCTCAACCCTATGCCCATGCAGGGTAAGAACAATGGATACCTACCAGACATTCCTGGATTCTCTTCTCTCCAGTCAGTTTATATGTCAGGAACTTTTCCTTTTCTTCCCTCAAAATCCTCAAATGGGCCTGAAACCTCTCCTGAATGAACAGAAATCATTTGTGGGTGACAGAGGGGGAGAAGGAGGGCTGCTTTGAGGTGTGGAAGTGTAGGGTGTCTTTTCCATCAAAAAATATTATATATTGATATAGATATCTATATCTATATATTTTAACTTTCAGTGGAGGATGGTAAAGGCTGTATAGAGCTAGAGGATGTGGGTATGTCAGTAGCTGTGGCAGAAACCTCGTGACGGAATGAATCTGCAAGAAAAATCAAGAGCTCGTCCCCATTAGCCTGGACAGCAGCCCCTTACCTGGTACTCCTGGGTGGCCTCTTCTACAGGAACTATGGTGTGTGTTCGGTGGGCACGGGACAGATGGCAAACCACACAGATAAGTGTTTGATCCTCTTTACAGAAGAGTTTCAGATCCTCCTGGTGTTGCTCACATACCCTCTGTCCTGTTGTTCCTTTGGCTGCCTGTGCCTTCAGCTGTTTGACTATTTCTACCACGTTGGTCAGCTGCCAGTTTGGGCTGAGGGTTCTCTGCCTCACTGCTTGTCTGCACTGAGGGCAGGAGCAGTTTGGCCCTGACTTCTCCCAGTACTGGGTAATGCAGCTTTGGCAGAAGTTGTGCCCACAGGTTAGAGTGACGGGCTCTGTGAAAAATTCAAGGCAAATAGGGCAAGTTGCTTCATGATCGAGGGTCCCCAGAGGCTCCTCAGCCGCCATCGTTCCCTCTGAGCAATGCAAAAGAACAAGTTTCTCTCTCTTGAGCTGAGAACTATGCCCCGCCTGTCACAGTGGCAGGGTGTTTCCTTTCCTGTATTTGTTTTTTTCAGAATCAGGTTGTTTGCTGAACTAGGGTGATCCCAGGGGTAAAGTTACTTGTGTCATGGAGTGCTCTTTGCTCTTAGCTCCTTACACTAAGGCAGAGGTCACATGGGAATCAAGGTCCACTTTGGAATGAAATGCTTAAAGGAGCACAGGTAGCATGGCATGGATGTGTCCTAGGGCTGTGCGCAACAGCACTGTGACGTTTCGACGGAGCAGCGTTTCGTTTCGAATTCTGTTTAGATTTGAAACTGCTGTTCTGTTTTGTTTTGGCAAAACAGTTCTGCTGTTTCGACGTTTCACCCATAGGTTGTAACGCAGAAGCTCAAAACAGCCTATAACGTTATCATTTCTGGCCTGCTTCTGATGAAACTTGCAGGAACGGTGGCCCCTTCTGAGGGCATGATGCCTACCAAGAATCAAAGAGATAGGTGCAGGGGGCTCGGGAAAACTGCACCTCAAACTCTTGAAAGCAAAAAACTCATGTCACGTGTATGCGATAAGCCACAGAGGGGTCAAAACTGCAGGCGTGCTAGCCCCTGCTGAGGCAACGAACCCTGCCACATTTCAAGAATATGGGTGCAGGGGTTTGGGGGAAACTGTACCTCAAGCTGCTGACAAGCAAAACTCATGACATGGGTGAAACTGCGTGTAAGGTGCAGCAGGGCAAAAAATGCAGGCCTGCTAGCCCCTGCTGTAGCCATGAAGCCTGCCAGCTATTAAGGAGATCGGTGCAGGGCTTCTGGGTTCTGGGGCCCTGCACCCCTAGCTGCTGACAGACAAAACTCATGACATGGACGGGTGACACTGTGTGTGTGTTGAGGTACGCCGTCGCTCAACTGACACCAAGGCAGAAAGCCGGGCAGTTCAAACAATGCTGCCTTTTATGCAGTTTTTTCCATCCCTCCCCCAGAGCACTGGGATTGGAAGAGACCTCAGGGAAGGATGACAGTCACTGGCCAGCTACACAGTCAATAATGAGAGCGCTCCTTCCCCGCCCCCCCCCCTTCCCCTCCCTCTCCTTACTTTAGTTTTTGTTTCCCTGCAGGCAAGCCCTCTTTAGCCTCAAAACTTGAAACATTAAAAAAATTTCGAAATGTTTCAATTTGCCTCATTTAATTCGAAGGGGATCCCCTGCCCTCCATTAATGCTGACTTCGTGAAGGAACATCTTGAGAAGCTGGATACCTTCAAGTCAGCTGGCCCTGACAATCTTCACCCCAGGGTACTCAAGGAGCTGGCAAGCATCATAGCCCAGCCTCTAGCATGGATCTTTGAAAACTCTTGGCGCTCTGGTGTAGTGC